TTACTTTGATTTTCTAGCTTAAAATAAATGCCATTGTTTATATTAAAATAAAAAAAGGGCTCTATTACTTTATTGTCCTATTTCTCTAGTATGTTTTAAACTTAACTTGGAGTCGGTATCTCTATTCTTTAAAGAATTATAATCATTCAAAGTTTACTATTGAAAAAAAGATCAGCAAAAAATTGTCATATGGGGCATACTGCAACAAAACCAGACAAAGTGAACATTGGTATGGTGCCGATCATCTAAAGACATCAAAAATTTTGGGTAAACTTTAAAATGTATAAGCTCAATGACCATGCAAGATAAAAAAAAAACTCTCTATAGTTTTATTATATAAGACATAAGGAAAGATGCAATAGAGAGTTTTTTTAAATTTTATTAAAATGAAGAGAGTTATGATGGCTTAAAGTTTGTCATTTTTACTATTAAAAAAACAATTTCACCACTGATCATTACTCTATTTAAAGAATATTTTCACAATATAAAGAAGTGTCATATGATAGCCATGACTTGTGAAATTCTGCTAAAACAGATTCAGGAACTCTTCTATGAGAGTGATGCTTTTTAACTGCAAAAATAGCAGCTTTACCAGAAAGCCCCATCTTATAGGCACTTAACCTATAACATCTTCTTGCAAATTTATGAATTTTACAGAGAGAAATAGGATTAAGAGCCAATGACACAGTTTGTTGTAAACCTTCCCAAGATTCTAATTCTGTAGTTAAAGATAAATCTCTCCAGTCATCATCGGATTCAATGTATTGATAGATCAACTCTTTGATTTCTAATCCAGGTTCATTTACATCTAATTCATTCAAAATGTTTGTGTCAATCTGAGATTCATTTTCAAACACCTCCTTACCAATATATTCATCTGTAATGGGTTTAATAGTTTCTTTCATTTTTTTTAGTTTCACAAGCTTTTTGTAATGTTGATTTCTTTTATTCTGTATAAACATTTTAACAAAAAAAAAGAAATAGATTTGGATTAAGGGTAGAGTATACGTAACACAAATTTTACTATGATACAGTGGATAATTTTTTGGCTGCCGATCATTAAAATA